TTGGGGGGCTGCGACCCCCCTGGCCCAGCGTGCCGGCCACCGGGCCGAGGGGTCGCAGCGGTAGCGCGGTCGGAGGACAATGGCCGGTCGCGGCACAGGCCCCGCCGTGGCGGAGACTCGAGCCGCGCTCGTTTACGGGGGGCGCTGGGCGCTGTGGAGGTTAAAAGGTCACGGATCCCCTGCCCCCTTGCTCTCTTTCTCTGTGTTCGGCTGGGGGTTTTATTCCGGGAAGGAGATTAATGGGCGTGGGGTGTTGGGTTGGGGGGGGGAGTGTCGGGGGGGGGGTGGTGATGGGGGAGGTGTAAGGATGGGGGAATGGGGGGGTGAGTTTTAATGGAGGTGGAGTCGGCACAGACCTCCCTGTGGCGCTGACGGCATGGCAATAGCAACCGATCGCCAGCAACAACCAACAACTACGAGCAACAGCCAGCAACAACCAGCAACAACCGCTGAATATCGACAACAACCGGCAACCAGGACCAGGCAGACCACCACCGCAGAGATGGAGCGGTGGAGTCGGCGTCTGTGTTGCAGGCGCTAGGAGGACTGTCGCACGGCACGATTGTGCCAGACGGAGGCGGTGGCTTGGAGGGGCCTTGATCCAGCAGTGGATTGATCATGGCTGATGATGATGACTGAATTGGCACTGAACTCTCATGTGCGGCCTTGTAGACTGTGTGGGAGTTCTGTTAGCGAGCGCCTATTAAGGCAAGCACAGCACACGAGGGCGTGTTGTGGCCAGCAACACACTCGGCTGCCTTTGTGTCTCCCCCAGTGCTGGTGCTTAAACACTGCATTTAAGGCTGAGTGTACCTACGGGAGCCCCGGTGCTCATTCAAACATTTGCTATCGAAGGCCGAGTTGACCGAGAAAAGGGCCAGAACAGGCTTCATATATCCCACTGATGTTGCCCCAGGCTGGGAATCGAACCCAGGTGCCTGGAGTTATTGCTCGGCGCGAAAACCGCGACGCTGTGCGGCACGTTACCTCCGACTGCCCATCTCCCGTTTACAGCCCCGCAGAGCCAGTGGCCTTGAAAATTCCACATTCCTATGGTGGGTGACAGGTCTATAGGATAACCACCCGGACCCATCTACCGGCATACGAGATCCATCCTCATGTCTTGAGCCGGCTTGGCAGCAGACTTGCCGTGTGTGTGATCCGCGCGGCGCATCCGACTGGACTCGGGGGAGCGTGCGGCGGCGAACGTTCGAACTGACAGAGCGGCGCTCGTGCCCCGAGGCACGCGGGGGGCGTGCCCGCACACGCCCGCCCCCCCCCCCCCCGCACACCGCGTGGCAGCGCATCCCGAGTTGAATCTCGCGCGCATTTAAGGAACTCGGGGTGGCCAAGGGAGCAGTCGGCGGCCACGGGACCGCGAACCCGCGCCGTGCGGAGCTGTGCAGCGATGGGCTTTCTCGGGGCGCTGCGGGTTTCCTCCCACACACGAAGGGAGTCGTTTCTTAGGAAGGGACCGTCCAGACATCATGACCAAGATGAAACGCGCGACGTAACCGAGAACTGAACGATTTGGGGAAAATATCTAATTGCGATTTTTCTGACAGATATTGCGATTTGATTTGCGATAAAAAAAATTCAGTCAAGCTTCAGTTCAATATTCACTGTGTAACAGATTTAAAACATGTGATGGAGCATTATCACAGGATACCATCAAAATATGAACTGCTCTATATATTCTAATGCAAGGATGAGAACTTAAAATATATTAATTGCTTCCAACATGTATTTATAAAAAAATTAATTGAAGTAGAACAAACAAACATAGAACAATTGTTAAGTTAATTAAATAAATATATAATAATACAAAAATAAACAATTCCAATAACAAAGTACTGTAATAGGACTTTTCAAATCGCAAAAAATCGCAGCCTTTGCGATTTGCCAATCGCATTGTTTAAAATTGCCATTTCGATTTGAAATCGATGAATCGTTCAGCCCTAACGTAACCGTCATCGGCCGAGCATCCACACTGATGAAAGGTCACCTGCAAGTCACCCAATCGGGATCGCGGCGGCAACATCGCCAACGGCTGCGAAAAATCTGGCAGGAACCTCCTGCGGACGAGCCTTGGGGGCTCATGGAGGCTCGTCCCGTACGAATGAATGAATGAGCGGTGGAAACCCAGTGTGACACAAGCGCGGCTCGCGCGCACAGCTCGTGCGTGCGCCCGTATGGCGCATGTAGCCACGCGTGTTTGCTCAGCGAAGGCTGCACTGAGCAGTCATGTGAGACCCCCGCAGTGAGGGGCACTTGAGATAGTTTGGGTGGAGGGGGGGGAAGTGCAGAAGGGGAGTGGTTGAGGGGGAGGGGTTGGGGTAGGGGGGGAGGGAGGGTGGGGTGGGGGGGCACCTGGGCGGAGCGACGCATCCACCGTAACTAAGAGGGGGGGGGGGCACCCAGCGTCCACCCCCCACTCCTTCTAGCGGGGGTCTCCGTGGGCAGGAGGTGGAGTTGGCGGTTAAGTGGTGGGGGGGGGGGGGGGGATCAGGGGGAGGGGCCTGGGTGGTGTTGCTTCTCCTTGAAGCGGACACACAATGGCCACAAAGGCTCCTTTCTTCAGAGAGCGCGGGAGGAATGCCAACGACACGGGCAACGAGGTGCAGGTGGCGGGGGGGCAGGGGGGGGGCCCCGAGGCCGCCGTGCTCTCGGGCCGCGTGTTGTTCGACGGTGACGTCCTGACGATTCGACCCGCGTGCCAGGAGGTCCTCCGCTATCTTCTACGGCGCGTGGAGCAAAACGTCGAGCATCGCGCCGCCCGAAACGTCGGTCATCGCGCCGCCCGCACAGCACGCGGCCACAGGCACAAAAACACTTCGTGGGAGAGCCGAATGGCAGCACGACCGCGGAAACATTAACAACGGCCTTAACGCCAGCTCCAACCACACACAACGCAGTCGAGCACCCAACCTCCAACGCCTCTCGTCTCTCGCACCAACACCCAACACCAACACCCAACGCCAACACCCAACAACAACACCCAACAACAACACCCAACAACAGCACCCAACAACAGCAGCCAACAACAGCAGCCAGCACCATCGGTGCATCACCACCGATAGCACCCAGCAGCTTTCCCGCAGCATCCCGCACCAACAACCTGCACTAACGTCACGCACTGATGCCACAAATTACCACCATAATTAATGCCTTGCCCTAACACCCTGCACCAACACCCTGCACCAACACCCTGCACCAACACCCTGCACCGATGGCCTGCAGTAACACCCTGAACTAACATCACGCACTAACATCAAACACTAACTCCGGGTCCCACAATCCAGCACGCAGGTCCAACTTCCAGCATGCTCGTGCCATTATTCAAACAATGCTTTTCCAGAGCAGAGCTCAAGTCACGGGACACCCAGCTCTCAAACTCCAGCAGGAACCAGCACCCAGCCATAGCCTCCCACAGCACCCAGGCGAAGTCTCCCACAGCACCCAGACGTAGCCTCCCACAGCACCCAGCCGTAGCCTCCCACAGCACCCAGCACAAGCGCCCAGCGGTGAGAACCCAGGCTGTGGCACAAAGCCACGGGCTCGCGTTTAAATAACAAAGAGCTCGTCGCGAGAGTCGCACGTTTGCACCACGACCGTCCCATCCTGCAGACAAAGCTCGGCTCGTTCCTGCGGAGCTGCCTGCCACCGCTACCGCCATCTCCATCGCCACACAACACCACGCACGCGCGCGTTACAACCCTACAAAGACAAAGATTCCACCACCCCCCTCCCCCGTGTAGCCCTCAAACAGGCTGTTTGGGGCATGAATGTGGCCAACATGGCACCCGGTCGCCTTTGCGTCCCCCCGGTGCTGACGTTGTATACACCTGCAGCAGGATACTCATTTGAGGCCGAGTGCACCTAGGCGGAGGCCGATGACCGGTTTAGATATTCGCCGCTAATGTGGCACGTTGTCGATCGCGCGGTGATCTCATAGCCCGGGCGGAGACGGGCGTGGGCGAGCGTGGGCGAGCGTGGGCGAGCGCCAGTGCCATATGGTGGGTCCCGCTACTCAGGCGGGGCGCCGTCATCATCAACCCCGCGACGGACAAGGATGGGCCCTCGTCTCAACCCGACCCCCACGCCCAGACGGCGCTCGCTCCCCGAAGGTTTGTGGTTCTCGGATTTGAAACAAGCAGGCGTGGGGAACGCTGCGAGCGTCACCCGATACCCAAACGCGGCTCATGCCCGGCACAACAAACACGGCGCGGCCGATCTGCCACCACGCGCGCTCACTCGCTCGCTCACTCACTCGCTCGCTCATTCACTCGCTCGCTCATTCACTCGCTCGCTCATTCACTCGCTCGCCACAATCGCCGGGGAAGAGAGCGAGACACCGGGCGGCGGTGGCACTGCCTCCTGCGTTATCAATCAGCGCTGAGCGATTACGGATGCGAAGAGCCGAGTGAGGGCGGAGAGCACGGGCTCCAACGACGGCCGCTTCAGCGCGGTTATCGATTGCCGAGATATGGCCGCCGCTGCCGCCACCACCGTGCCGATGCCTCACCGGGCCCCACTCGGTATCGATAAATTTGAGTCACAACAGCGATCGACGGCCCCTGACCTCCGTGGCCCCTCTCCCCCACGGCCCCCGCAAAGCAATCATGACGGCCCTGCCCCGCGAGACGAGGGCTCGGCGATCCGGCACGTCCGCCCCTTCGGTCGCGGAGCGCGCTGCCGCACCACGCACAGAGCGCGAGCGATGCGCTGCGTGAACGTCCAAACTCTTGCCCCTGTTCAATCAATCATTATTACACTCGACCCATCGGGCAGCATGGCGTTCTGGGAGTGCATCTTCATCAGCAGGCCTTATTGAACTAAAGCAAAACTCTGCAGCAGTTTTGACATTTGGTGTCTCACCTGCGTCAGAGGTGGGTCCTTAGAGCGGCCGTCGGACTCACCTGGCCGGGCGAGATGTGGCCGGGCGTGACGGCACGTGTGTGCGTATGCGCGTGCATGTGGCCGCGCCGGCGGGGACTCACCCGATTGTAGTAGTGCACCTGCACCGTGTGCCACTGGCCGTCGCTCACGCCTCCCGGCACGTACGGCGTCACCAGCGTCGACTTCTCCCCTGCGCGGAGAGACATGCGCCGCCGGACACGCAAGCGATCATACGAGGGCCGAGCGGCAGCAGCGGCCGCCATTACCGAACACACGACGACGACTCGGCGACTTCACGGACTCGCGAGTGGAACGCGACGGCCCAGCGGCGCAGGGAAGGGCACGAGGGCGGGAGAAGCAGCTGTACCTCCGCAAGCTCTGGGTGCTGGGGGGGAGGATGGTGATGATGATAAGAACCAGATTATGCCGCACCCCCTCAATTATTACTTTTCTTTGGCACCCCCTACCCAAACCCCCCCCCCCCCCCAGCTACTTCACATGCCTCCGCCCCCCCCCGCAACCCCCGTGATGAATTGTCCCACAACTTCAAAATAATTCCTCCACAGCTATGATGCTCCGACTTCCTCTGGAGTACTGCAGTTGCGGTATCCGTAGCAACGGGCTGTGCCGGGGGACCTGACTGCCGCAGCGCCACCACCACCACCGCCAACTTCGCAGCGTCGCTCATAAATAGTGCACGCGGCCGATGGGAGAGGAACAGCTCACGGGCACCCGAGGCAGCCATCCTCCCTCCTAAACTGGGCCGGCAGCGCTGCTGATTTACCACCGCGCGGCTTTTTCGCAGCTGCGCCGTATATATTTCTCCCGACGTGTTTCCGAGTTCTGTCGCGTTCCTGAGCTAGATGCCGGCGCGCGCAGAGAAATGTCGGGCATCGGCGCCGAACAAAACTTCGCAGCGCGAATGAGAAAAAAAGTCATCGCTGCCACAACCGCTGATTTAACGCAGTCGACCGCGCCGCCACTCGCACACGTGCGCGCGTCCCCTTCATTTTCATCTCAAGAGTCGTAAAATCCTACCCCAGTGTGAGACGGGGGGCCGCTCCGTCGCACAGGGAGGGAGAGGATTAAGGGAGCACGTTATTGATGGCGGGGCAGAGACGGCCAGCCCGACCGCCGCCACCTTCGCCGCTCTTCCGCAAGGGACCGAGGGGCTGTAATAAAAATCAGGGACGGAGCTGTCGGCGGAATGTGGATCCGTTAACTAAACTACTTCAACTACTTTTATTTTACCAGGTAAGGCCCAATGAGCTATGAAGCTCTTTATCACAAGCAACCTGGCCAAAAATGACAGCTCAACGAAGTGGCTTTTGACGTGGAAAGTTATCGCAGCCAAATACTGTAAAACGCATGTTGATTCTAAATGTGGAGGGATTAACCAGAGGACCCGGAGAAAAATCCACGCGACCACGGGGAGAACTTGCAAACTCCAAATATACAGGCGTCAGGGTCGGGATCGAACCCACAACCTCCTGCATACCAAGAGAGGGAGATAACATCTCGCCACCGTGGCTGCGGTGACCGCCCGCGTGGCCTTCTTATGAGCAGCAGCCGCTGTGAGAGCAAGCGCCGTGCTTAGCAGGGTCACAGTTCCGATTAAGTTGGTGGCTGCCATATCTACTCTCTCTCCACTCTCTCTTCTCTTCCCTCTCTCCCTCCCTCCCACTCTTTAATCTCTCCGCTCTCTCTCGCCCCCCACCAGCAGCAGGTGCCTGGTTTTTACGAGGCAGAGAAATCACCGCAACGAGAAGAGAAATCCAATAATGGAGGAGCGCGTGCCAGAGCCCGCGCCTTCGCAACCGCCGCGGCAACGCCAGGGCCCATCCCGGCACACGGGGGAGGCCGTACCGCACCCTCCACGGTCGTTGGCACCGCACCATCGCAACATCCACACCGCGCAACCACCACCATCATCAAACTATCACCGCTTCAGCACTGCACCACCACCAGTGTCACCACATCAGTACCGCACCATGAACGCACGAGCACCGTACCGTCACTGCGGCATCACCATTCCATCGTCAAGACTATAATCCCACCATCACCAGAACCATCACTACATCATCACCGCACCATCACCACACCATCACCGCACCGTGTCCTCACCGCACCTTCACAGCCGCCCACGGTTTACGGGACAAAAATAGAGCCGCAAGAGGAGTCGTCCCTGAGCGGTTAACACGCAATGGCGGAATGAGGTTTTATCTCCAGCCATCTCTTGAACCATCCAATCAAATAGATTATTCTGCTTGAATTGAATCGTGCGTTCGTAAGGATGGGGTCATGTGACCCCTGCAGCCACTAGGGGCGCTACCATTTACAATTTTAAAAAATAAATATATAACAATTCTTGAATCAAATTGCAAACCCCAAATGTCGACAATGGCTATCCATTACCAATAATCTCTATCCGGCTCTGTACATCTCTATCCAATGACCTAGTCATCTCTCATTATCCATCCATCTCAGTCAAATGATCACGGTCAAGCTCCATCTCCGTCTGGAGTAGAGGGGGGATGCGGAAGAACGAGATATTATCACAGTTTGCCTGTGTCGCGGCATGACGGTGTGACGGTGTGACGGTGTGGGGGGGGCGTGGGGGTTCGGTGTGCGGGTGCCCCGGTGCGCCAGCGTGCTGGTACCCTGGCGTGCCGGCATCCTCACCTGCAGAGAAGGTGAGCTGGATCTGCTCGTCCACGATCTCGAGCGCCATGAAGTCATGCTTCTCGTTGAAGCGGCCGTTGTAGAGCAGCAGGCCGCTCCGCTCCTTGGTGGCGAACCTGGACACGTGGGGACACGCGGGGACACGCTGGTCAGCACGGCACACGTAAGCACGTGGCACAGGTATACTTGGAGACACACGGGTCAGTATGGGTACACGGGAACACATAGGGACACACGGGGACACAGGCTGAACCCACAAAGCACTGAGGCTCAGCCTGTTTCCTGGCCAGATCCTGGCCCAGCCTGGCTCAAGGACTCAATAAACGATTCTCTTGTCCGTGCAAATGAGAGATGCTCCAATCTGGAGGGATCTTCCTGGAGAGATATCGTAACGGATGGAGAGACAGTGAACTCGATGACTTGTCACGACTTTGGCCGGCGGTCACTCGACGCAATGACCACACCTCCTTCGCCGTTGTTCTTGCCGTCACATCTGTACGGTTGGCTCGTTTGTACAGTTCGGTTCGCTCCGTTAGCCTAAATGTCACATCAGCATTTAATCTGCATACGATTTGCATAAATCGTCCACAGTCAATATTCTCACGAGCACAATTGTACGCGCATAATAACGAGCGTGCGCGTCTCTCCACGAATCATTGTGCCGTTATGCCGATACGCCCCCAGCACTCGGCAACGTCTCTCCATCACGCACGCCGCCAAAATCAACGCCATTTTCAGTGACAAGCGAACGGGGAGGGGGCGAGCAAGAGGTTATAGGTGAAACCTAAGCCCACCCCCCCCCCCCCCCCAAATCCAGCAACTAGGAGCTGCGATGGGAGCGAGCGTCGCTCCACACGTACACCTAGCTGCGGGTGTGGAGCCATCACCAACGCGGCTTGGACCGTAAATGCGGCGTTCTGCTTCCCACGTCCCGGTGGTGGCAGCGGTGGCAGCGCCGCGGTGCCGACCCGCGAGCGGCGGCCTCGCAACTGAACTCCGGTGCCGAGCGTGGCTCTGCTGCCATGTTTGTGTAAAAATGTCGCTCTGACGCTTTGCTCGTGCGGCCACGTGACCCCCCGCGGCGCGGTGGAGAGATTGTGCGCGGAGACGCGGGGACAACAGAGAGACGTGGGGTGAGATGATGACACAGGGATACGGGGACACATAGGGACCGGGACACGAGAACACAGAGACATGTGGACACCGGGTCACAGGGATGGATGGAGAGATGAAGACAAAAACGTGGACGCAAAGACGTAGCCACGTACACGAACGCGTGGACACCACAAAAACACAGAGACACAGATTGAAACGTGGATACAAATGCACATGGAGCGACACACGTGCACATATATATATATGACTACACTGAATCACAGATGGGTGAACACACCGACATACATAGACACAGACAGATATACACAGAGCGAGACTGCATATCTAATATAACACGGAATAAAAAGAGACAGTCATACAGGCCTAATGACAGACAGCCAGGCGCAATCACGTAATAAGACACACACACGGAGGCAGACGGACGAAAGGACGGTCGCGCAGGTACAGACAGAATGACGGGCGTGTTTTGTCTGGAGGTTTCGCTGTCACAGATTCTCCGGGTCCTGTCCCCTCGCGCCATCATCACTCCCACCCGCGCGCCCGCCCATCCTCATACCCCGCCCCGACCACAAGTGAAGGCAGAGCTCGCGCTACCGGCAGCCCAGCCGATGCCCCCCCCCCCTCCGCGCCCCGCGTGGACGGCAGACGTCGTCACGACCGTTCGCACGGAGCGCCGGAGTGACAAGAAGAATCCGTCCGCCTCTCTCGGCAACTCCTCCCGCGGGCCCCGGGGGCCAGCGCGTGCGTTGTCCCTTCACGCCGCACGCGAGCACGCACACACGCACCGCGTGATGGACAGGAGGCAGATGGACGGAAGGATAACCGGACACACGCGTGTACGTACGGACAGACCCGTGGACGGGCGGATGGACAAGACGAGCGAACGGATGAATAGAGAGACAGGCTCACAGATGCACGGACAGACGGATTGTGGACATCGGGATGCACAGACGTACGCACAGACGGCGCAACCAACGGAAGAGAGAGAGGAACGGCGCACGTAAACGCACCCACGGACAAGAGGACCTGTCAGACGCACGCACAGACAGACGAACGGAAGGACACACGCACGCACGGATGAATGCTCGCGGCCGCGCGGCCTGGGGCAGGGCTGTGCTGTTGGGCCGTCGCGACAACGCCGATCGGAGCGGACGGGGGCTGATCGGCCGAGCAGATCTGCCTTTGTGCGAACCCTGGCCGACCCCTCAGGTGTCACGGCAACCGCTGGAGCAGCGGAGACATCTCATGGCTACCCCTCCAGCCCCCCACCCACCCCATTCTACCAGACCAGTTTGCTCCCCCCCAGCCCCCCCGCATCATCCCGACTCGCTCCGGTCCCAACCACCACTGTGAACCCCCCCCCCGCTGCTTCCTGCGGGGGACCCCTTCACCGCTTATACCCCACACCCCTCCCCCTCCCAGCCCACACCTCGTGCGGTGCCAAGTGCCCCCTGGCCCATGCCCCCCACGAACCCCCCCCCCCGCCTCGCCGAGCCCCGAGTGTTCCACGCCGACCCCCACCGCATCCCCCGGCCTCTTAGAAGCGAGGAACAAAGGGGAGAGTGAGGGGATGCTAATCCCGCATGCAGCAGCAGCAGCAGCTCCTGCAAGGGGGCTCACAGCTGGGACAGCGGGACAGAGACAACAACAAGGAGACACGAGACACACGAGGAATTGACAAGCAAGAGATGAACGCTGACGCCCGGGGACACGGACGCGAGGGGCACGCAGACGCACGGGGAGACCGACAGCCGGAGAGACGCACGAGGCCACACGGGGAGAGAGACACAAAAACAAATATTGCCCGGGAAAGTGCTGTCAACGACCACCTATTAAAGCAGGAACGTCACACATTTGGGTGCCTTTGTCTCCCCAAGTGCTTATATTTACACATTGCAGCAGATACTCATTAAGGCCGAGTCGACCTTGGGGAGGCACAGGACCAGTTCAAATATTCGTTACTGTTTTTGGTCGTGTGAATCGTATCCGGTTCGCCGAGTTTGTAGTCCAGTGCGCTCACGACACAGGGACACGCTGACACGTAGAGACAACCGCACATAGAGATGATGACACGCAGAGAGACACACGGGGACACTCGTGACACGCAGAGAGACACGGGGAGACACAGACACCGATACGCAGGGACGAACACACATGGAAACAGCAGCAGCACAGAGGAGATGAAGCGAGACAGGCTGTGGGCCTGAGGCAGGATTGTGGTGATGGTTAAAGGATGGTCCGCGGGTGATGGGGATGGAGTGTGGGGGGGGCAATGCCCAGGTAAGGTGTGTGCCTGTGGGGAGTGGTGGTGCAGCGGTTAGCGCACCGTGCTACCAACCCAGAGACCTGTGTTCGGTTCCGGCTCTTGGCCAACATCACTTACGAATATCCAAACCATTCCTGGGCCTCCCCTAGGTCGACTCAGCCTGAAATGAATACCAAGTTACCGCTGGGGAAACAAATGTTGCAATGCGTCGTGGTGGCCACACCACCCCCTCGTGTGCCGTGTCGGCCTTCATAGGTGCTCGCTAACAGAACTTGCCCCAAAATCCTGTTAGAGACTGCACGGGGTAATCTTTATCTTTGTATATCTGTGCATCTGTATCTATATCTTCGTGTGTATCTGGGCTTATCTGTGTGTGTCTATATTTGCGTCTGTATCTATAGCCGTGTGTGTGTGTGGTCCCCTGGGCCGGTGTGGCGAGTGTGTGCCGCGTGCCCGTGTGTGTGACAGCCTGGTTATTACGGAGCCTCACGCAGCTGCGCCCCGCACCGCTCACCGCCTGCGCGTGCGAGATTACGCAGATCTATGGGCACTGGGGCACACCGCGACCACCACTACCACTCGCTCGCCCGCTCGCCCACCAACCCACGCAGCTGCAAACCCACCCATCCGCTCACCCACCAACCCAACCATTCGCTCATCCATCAACCCACTCAGCCACCAATCCACCCATCCGCTCACCCACGCACCAACCCACCCACCCACCAAACCAACAACCCACCCACTCACCCACTCACCCACCCACCAACCCAACAACCCACCCACTCACCCACTCACCCACCCACCAACCCAACAACCCACCCACTCACCCACTCACCAACCCACCCACCCACCAACCCAACAACCCACCCACTCACCCACTCACCCACGCACCAACCCACCCACCAACCCAACAACCCACCCACTCACCCACTCACCAACCCAACAACCCACCCACTCACCCACTCACCAACCCAACAACCCACCCACTCACCCACTCACCAACCCACCAACCCACCAACCCACTCACTCACCAACCCACCCACTCACCCACCAACCCAACAACCCACCCACTCACCCACTCACCAACCCGCCGACCCACCGGTCTGTCTAGCCGTCCCAGGTCCACGTTCGTGTGTAGCGGCTGCTGCCACCAATCAGTGGCGGCTCCACTTAATCTCCCGATTTAATTTGAGGTGACAAAATAAACAAGCGGCAACTTGTCTGCTTCACAAATCTCTCCCTCTACATGAATACAATGTAATCAACTTGCACATTCCATCAGCCACACGGCTTCCTTCTGAGAGTGCATTATTGCACCAACAGCATCGGTTCAATTAAGATTAAAACTCTGGACCGGTTTCAACATTCAGTGTCTCATCGGCAGAGTCAGGCGTTGCTTTGAACCAATGCTGGTCAAGTGCCAGATGCTTATTGGCAAAGGTCCTCTCCAGTGCCCCCGCAAGGGCAGACGGCAAGCGGGCAGCTCGGACTCCCTCCGATGCGGGGGTCCTCCTGGGAGAATCGGGGGTGCAGGTGCAAGGATGCGGGGATATTGCCACGGATTTGGCGAAAACACCCCAAGGAGATGTCGCCCCCCCCCCCAAACCCGCACGCTGCTGCTCCCCACACTGGGTTCATCACAGGACAGCCACCCATACGACAGCCAGACCCCTCATTCACTCCGGCCACTCACTCACCAGCATGGTCACTGCTCCCATGAACTTCACCCATTGA